AAACTCTTAGAGGGTTTGACTTATCATTAATGTCATCGCAATTAACCGTCAGATCAATGGCCTCCAAGTGATCAGTGGATGTGTCGTAAGAGACAACTCCAGCGCATTGTTTGATGAGATCCCTAACCAATGGCTGTTCAAACAACTGGTCGTAAATGCGGACACATTCAGTGTTTTTGGTGATCTTCACCACTTCGCACAGATAGTTACCGAAGATATAGGGCTTCAGACACTTGCGAACTCTTTCTGAATCCCATTCTGAAAGCAATCGTTGAGATAGTGATCATTGAGTCTCAGTGTCCAGACGGCAGGCATACCCTTGTCTTTGGGAGTAATGTCTGCCAAATAGTATTTGTGTGCCAGCGATGGCTCAGTGAAGAGTCTGTCAAATGAGACTAAATGCTTGAATGGCACCGACTCTTCTGTGCCGAAATCCATGGCCAACACCTGCGCCCGACTCGACTCCACGTCCACATCCGTCACCACAACCCTCGCGAAGTGCAAGTCATTCGTCAGACTATACGACAAACGCGACCATCAATTGGTGTCTCATATGAGAGCTAACTATAAGACATGACATGACATGACATACCGCGTGAGGTAGAAGTCGCCAACATTTGGCTCCAGAGCTGGTCTTTGCTCGAGTGATGTGGCGGCGAACGAGTCACTCAAGTGTTTGTGATATGCCGTCAGTTGTCTCTCCACACGAAGACAACTCATGACATCTGATTGCGCCCACACTTCCACTCGACGCCCACTGACACACACGTGCGTTATGTGACACCTCATGATCTTGGGCTTCCCGACTGACACATCCATCACTTGCACTCAATCAATGGTTAGCTTCGAGACAATGCACTGAATGACTCGTCAGGCAATCAGACACTCAATGAATGCGTGAATGCAGTGAACAGTACTCCAAAATAATAGCGCCTTAAATGCGAACACTTTTGCCACAAAACTATTGGTTCGCAACTGAGTCACGCAATGCGAACTCTATGCTGAACTCTGTGTTCACTTTCAACTCTCTCCTCACTTTGACGCACAATTTCAGTGGTGTTTCATACGTATGTCCACAGCATTGACTTCACTGCAATACAAGTTCAATGCTGTCTTTGGCTGCTATGCTATGTCTTACAGAAAAGTGAATTTGCGTAATAAAGGGGCAGTTTTACAGTCAGATTGTGATTAAATATTGTAGAAAACTGAGCAAGTTAAATATCGTATTACTGTACTGTTAAAATTGAATTTTATCGGTAAATTTAATTTAAGAGTAAGTGAGCTTATTTTAAAATGAGATTAATATGAAACAATTGTACAAAAGTTTAAATTAATTGATTGTTTGAGAGGTACTGTATTGACAGTCATTGACTCTATAGTATAATAGTTAAGTGATTGTGAGTTAATCTGTATTTATGTGTCATTTATAGCAAACATAACGACAATTAAAACATTTGTGGCCATAATTGGGAACCGATAGCCACTGGCGAGTAGGTGTTCGTGATGTCAGTGGAGGCACTGGTGATCGTGAGCCGACTGTTACACGGTGATGACCACGCCTCAGCTGTCGGCAACCCCAGCCGCAGGTGCCACAGCCGCGAGAAAGTAGACGTGAGTACAGAGCTGTATTAGACGCTCTTCGTCAGTTTGTCTCTGGGTAAGTTAGGACTGTTGACTCAGAGCGAGACCCATAAGATATACGGCTTCTGTTCGGCCACTAACACGAAAATCTTGTTTATGGTTAGCCCGCAGGCCATCCGCGACAATGAGGCCAGACTTATACTCAAGACAGTCCACAGCGCTTACGTCGACGTCACCACCGCTCACCCCTTCTACCAATTCGGACAACCAATCAAATCAAAGTACAAAACATGTCATTCATTGCTAACTAATTGCATAACCATATCATATCATAATTGAAATACGGCTTAAGTTATGACAATCACATTAACTCTATTTAATATCGTAATCCAGTTATAGTAGTATATATAATGTTGGTATAAGTAGTGTAAAATATCATTACAGACGATTTATATAACGGAGGTTAATATTCAATCTATGAATAATATGGGTAATAATAAGAACTGTGATAAGCGTTGATTAGATGTAATTTGATTCATAAAACATGAATAATACTGTATTACCCGTAAAATTATATGAATACCTATACAGTAGGTATTAAATTATTGAACTAATCAGACATCAGGAATTCGGGTTTAAAAAATGAATGCATTAGATTCAATGTTTAAGTTATTCTGAAATACTATAATAATGATTGTGTTTCTAATGTATACAAATTCTAGTAATTCTAATAATAATTTATTGTTTATTTTGTTAATTATAAATGAAATTTAATTAAAATGATTATTTCTCTCGTTACAGACATTTGGATTCAGTAATCGATGGAATATTCTCTAATTATTAACATTAATCATGTTACATTATTATAAGATTCTTGGTAGAATATAAATTATTAAATCTTAAGTATGAATAAATGAATAAATTTGATACAACTGAATGTAATATTTATTGTAAATATATATTTAAAATAAAGAATTTGAATATAATTGTAAAATACGATTAAAAATTGGATGTATTTTGAAGTGAGACATGCATTCAAATGAATAGATTCTGTATATTTGGGGCAATAATATAGAGAGAGTGAGTGAGACCTCTATATGAGTGCAACGCCTGAGCGATAGAGACATTGAATACAGAGGTAGGGATTCATTGAGTGAATGAGTATTTCATGCAATAAATCGTAACAATAATCAGTTTGAGAGGTGTGTCGACAGTAGACACTAAATACCCATCCATTCCCCTAACTATCGCCCACTGATTGTCTTAATAGTGACTTACCATCGATTAAATCAGTTCGTTAGACGCGATTAGCAGTGAGACAATGACTGTAAACGAGTGGATGAGCGGGTCTGCGGGCACGAAGACTCACGCGTTGGCCATCACCAGAGACTACATATCGCAACCACGTCTCACATACAAGACAGTGACCGGAGTGAACGGTCCACTCGTCATCCTCGACGACGTCAAGTTTCCCAAGTTTTCAGAGATCGTTAAACTAGTTCTCGCCGACGGAACCGCTCGCACCGGACAAGTGCTCGAAGTGAGCGGCTCTAAGGCCGTCGTCCAGGTCTTTGAAGGCACCTCTGGTATCGAAAGTTTCCCAAGTTTTCAGAGATCGTTAAACTAGTTCTCGCCGACGGAACCGCTCGCACCGGACAAGTGCTCGAAGTGAGCGGCTCTAAGGCCGTCGTCCAGGTCTTTGAGGGCACCTCTGGTATCGACGCCCGGCATACTGTCTGCGAGTTCACAGGTTCTCCACTATTGAACACACTTTCTATGAAATGTGCGCTAATTTATGATTCATTTGATCCGAAGGCGATATTTTGCGGACTCCAGTGTCGGAGGACATGTTGGGCCGCATCTTCAACGGTTCCGGTAAACCCATAGATCGCGGGCCACCAGTTCTGGCCGAAGACTATCTCGACATCCAGGGTCAGCCCATTAATCCCGAATCGCGTACATATCCCGAGGAGATGATCCAAACGGGCATTTCTGCCATCGATGTCATGAATTCTATAGCCAGAGGACAGAAGATCCCAATCTTTTCGGCTGCGGGTCTTCCGCACAATGAGATCGCGGCGCAGATCTGCCGACAGGGAAGTCTTGTGAAGCATTCGGGCAGTGATATAGTGGACGACAACTTCGCCATTGTATTCGCCGCTATGGGAGTCAATATGGAAACGGCGCGCTTCTTCAAACAGGACTTCGAGGAGAACGGATCCATGGAAAACGTGTGTCTTTTCCTCAACTTAGCCAACGACCCAACCATTGAACGCATTATTACTCCGCGTCTGGCGCTGACGGCCGCCGAGTTCTTGGCCTATCAGTGCGAGAAACACGTTCTCGTCATTCTCACCGATATGTCCTCTTATGCCGAAGCCTTACGTGAAGTAAATTACAGTCAATTGTGTTGTTATTCTTGAATTATATTTAACACTTGAATGCCTGATAAACAGGTGTCGGCGGCTCGTGAAGAGGTTCCCGGTAGACGTGGTTTCCCCGGATACATGTACACAGATTTAGCCACCATTTACGAAAGGGCGGGTCGTGTGGAGGGCCGCACGGGCTCTATCACTCAAATTCCGATCTTAACGATGCCTAACGATGACATTACTCACCCCATCCCTGATTTGACGGGTTATATCACTGAAGGACAGATTGCTATCGACCGACAGCTGCACAACAGACAGATCTATCCACCGATTAATGTGTTGCCGTCTTTGAGTCGTCTCATGAAGTCTGCCATTGGAGAGGGAATGACACGTAAGGATCACGCGGACGTCTCTAACCAGTTGTACGCGTGCTATGCTATCGGCAAAGACGTACAGGCGATGAAAGCTGTGGTCGGAGAGGAGGCGCTCACTCCCGAAGACTTGTTGTATTTGGAATTCTTAGGAAAGTTTGAGAAGAACTTCATATCACAGGTAAGAATATCTTTGAGTTTGTGGTTTGTGTTGACTCGTCAATGAAATGATGAAAATAAATGATTGATTTTTAGGGCAATTATGAGAACCGAACTGTTTTTGAGTCGTTGGACATCGGATGGCAATTGCTTAGGATATTCCCCAAAGAGATGTTGAAACGTATTCCTCAGTCAACTTTGGCTGAGTTCTATCCGCGACAGACAGGCGCCGGACCCGCAGCCGTCGCTTCAAACAAAAAGCAATAAATTGACGATTAATTCCATTATATTTTTATCCAATTATGTGTGGGTTTAAGGATTCCAATACTAGTCGAGAGTTTATTGATTTTAATAATCATTTCATTAATTCAATTCCAGCCAAGAATTCAATAATTATAACGTTATATATCTTTAAATGAATTAAATAATACATGAGTATTAAACACTTACTGAATGTTTAGTCTGTAATTATGATTATTACAGTCTATTGTTGTAAACTATGGATAAGTACTATTATCGTAAAATTAAATTTAAATGTCAATAAAGTTTAGCAAATTTTAGGTATAATTATAAATAAAGAATTATAAATATGATATAACAATAAAATCAATTTTATTCACAGAAAAGTATTTCAATCCTAATTCGACTACAATTACAAAAAACAGATACAATGAGTGATAGTTTGATAATAAACACAATTTAGATATCGATGAAGATATCGGTGAAGATATCGATGAAGAATGAGATCAAATGAGAGATGTGTCGAACGAGTGGTGTCTTATATTCATGTATTTATTCGAAGCTAACAGTCATTTGTCTGCATTTATATCACAGAACAATTGGAACCAATTTAATGATATAACAATAAAATCAATTTTATTCACAGAAAAGTATTTCAATCCTAATTCGACTACAATTACAAAAAACAGATACAATGAGTGATAGTTTGATAATAAACACAATTTAGATATCGATGAAGAATGAGATCAAATGAGAGATGTGTCGAACGAGTGGTGTCTTATATTCATGTATTTATTCGAAGCTAACAGTCATTTGTCTGCATTTATATCACAGAACAATTGGAACCAATTTGTTGTGAAAAGTATGAAAACTTATTTTCTTGAGAATCATTGACACAAATATTTCAATAGAAAGCTATTCAATATTAATCAGATTTGTCTGAATAGTCCGGATCGACATCCGAGTCCTCCGACTGCCCGTCCATTACGATGTCTTCATCACTGACTTCAGGGTCACTAATGTCGTGGTCGTTGAGGAATTTTGAGGGCTCTTTCTTCGGCTCTTTCTTACCATTCAATTTAGCCGCAGATGAGCTCTGAGTGCTTTGATTGGGTTTAGGCTTTCGGTATTCGTGTACTAATGGATAGATCCTTTCGACGGCGTTCTGAACGGAACCAATACTCGGCGCTGTGATAGTGATGGCTCCCGTCTGGAACACCTTAAGTACGGCTTTGATATCCTTCATGCGATACGTGGCGCCGGGATGTAGTTCTGGCTCATAACTGATGCAAACGCAACCAATGAGTGCATGGGCTGTGAGATCTCATGTGTGGTGAGACATACCTAGCGTTGGGCCGATGGTCTGAACTGAATTCATGGATTTTGATGCCAAAGGGCAGAATACAAGTGCCCAACACATTCACCACTCGGAAGGAATTGAACTTCACTTTGAAGCCCATCTTCTGCAGACATCGCGCGATACGACGCGCACCGCATTTGGCCGACTCCTCAGTCGTGGCTCCCGTACACGTGATCTTACCCGACGACCAGATGCTGGCAGTCACTCGTGGCGCTCGCAGTTTCATCAGAATCATCTGCAGTTCAAATGGGATCAGACATGAAAGAATGGATCAGACATTGCACATGAAAGCGATCACCCTGCGGGTGTCATATATCTGTCAAATATACCGATTGTTCCCTTTTGTAGACAACATTAGATCCCTTGGAAGCGATTTGTCTGAGATTGAGGTGACATTTGACACTAAAAGTGGAGACAACGTTGGAGATAGTGATGTCCACCTCTGGGTCGGGCTCTTCGGTGGTGTCGTTCTGACCATTATTGTCACCATTTTGTTCACTAAGACTTACTTCTTGTTTCATATCACTGCCAATGGACTGATTGATGCCATTTTGAGCATTCATTTCAATGATTCACTTATGGTTTGACAAAATGTGTCAAAATGTAAATCAATTGAATGATGAAAACCACAAAATAAGTATTTATTAGATATATGTGTTAATCGGTTATCCGATCAATAAATGGTTAAAATCAGTGCTAATTATTATTAAAAGCATTTTCACGTTATAACTATGGCTTCAAATACACCAAACGTACTAAACACACGTCCAATTAAACTGTGATCTCGTATTATACTTGTAATGAAATTGAATTGAATTAAATGAGTGGCTAATGATATTAAATATATGAATGACTGACTGTATTGACTGCAAATGCAAACCAAATGTAAACGAAATTCACAGCCGATTGGCAGTGAATGCAAAACACAAACAATGCATTCAATGCTCTCTCACTCTCGCACTACAACTGATACACAACTCAAACGCTCAACACTTGACTTGTATTGCAATTTGCATTCATTCACCACAACATCCCATACGATCCCATACTATCCCATACTATCACTCCATTCAATTCAACTTAATTAACACCACTTTCCACACAATTGCCACCGAATCACTACTTTTCCTCTCAATTCACTTCTTTCTCAACACTTTTCACTAAATATAGAAATCTATTAAATTTTTTATTACATTTATTTCATATTCAATGCAAGCAATCATGCAATTCCCTAACTTTTCTAATTTTCTAATCATATGAGACCTAAGTTATAAAATAATATATTAGTAGTCACTACAATAGTGCACAACTATTGCACTTACGTTACAATATTATTGTCTATGAAAGTATTGAATAACATTTGCAACAATCATATTACTAAAGTGACCCATCACATTGTTACCAATGCCTATAGAACATAGAACATACCATTGTATAAGGTTAGCCTTATAGCCTATCAGTTATAGGACTCATTTAGATTTAAATCATAACTTTAGAAACTGCTTTAGATGGTAATCATTTATAAATGAAATAACATTGTCTCACACTCAAATTGGTCATTTTTATTAAACACAATAATTTAGGGTCACAGTTTATTACATTCAAATTATAATTTTAATATTGTCTTATAGTAATAGAAAATTAAACTTATTTCTGATTCTGATATTAATATTATATTAATAATATAAATTAGTTAATAAAAATAGTAGCATATATTATACTTACAGTTATATATGGTTGCGAACGTAATGTAAAGGACAATATCATTACTATATTATATTAGACGGCTTACAATTTAATACGGAGTTAATACTGTATATCCAAATTATATTATCCTGGATAATTTATCCAAACAATCGTATTTCACATTTCAAAATACAATTTATCATTGAAATTATATCCAAAAATTGTTGTTAAGTCTAAATATGAGAGGAACCTGGTGCTCCTGTTTCTAACTATTGTATCATGGTTTAATTGGTATTTGCATTTTAAAATAAAGTTATTTATGTTTTATTAACACCATGACCACTTTTAGTGAATCATATAGTATCATATTAATAGACAATGCGAATTGTAAAACACAATGTTAACATACAAATCAAAGTGAAAGATTAGTTGGCGCAAAACACCTAGATCATTCATTCAAACATATAGGATTATTGTGATGTAAACTACTGTATTTGATGTGCATTTGGAGCCCAATTGAATTGAAATAATATTATGTATATACAGTATTTGTCTCATAATAGCAATACTAGGCCTGTAGATATAATATAATGAATTGGACGGACCAGGGTGACCGCAACTACTACAGTAGTACACCTGCTCACCTGCACCGGTATTCTAGTCTATGGGTTGATGGGTTCTAAAAAGTTGGCAAAGAGTTGGTGCAGTAATCGGTGGTGTAATTGATGTGCGGACTGAATGGTGAGCGATGTATTGGTGACGTAATGGCTGTAGTGTTTCGGTGTGGGCGGAGTCGGTGTGTATGGTGTGGCCAATGGTGTGAACGCTTGGAGTCCTTTATATGCCTACAAAATGGGCGACACTTTACTGTTGAGTGTTTTCATGTTTGGCTCTCATCTCGCGTCAGTCATAGCTATAAGTGTCTGAATCGTGGGGTAATCGTTGCGACGAGTGGTTGACCACCGATGCACTCATAGTTGAAGACTGATAGTGATGTGCTTGTGATGAGCCCCAGACTCGGCCGCGTAGTGGTGGCACAGGTGTAGCCCTGGATGTGCATCAATTGCGACTCACTGTCTGGTTGTGTGAATCGCGAGGTCTATACGACCATTGAAGACATTGTCGGCCATTAGCCATAACTATTGTCGTGTTGTGGCATTCAGTGACCAATTGGTGATGGGATGCGTGAAACACACCACGAGTGCCAACCCGAACACCCGTACCACTCAATGAACACTTGAGTTGATATCAACTTTTGTACCACTTTTGTGATCCTCGAGATCGCAGAGATTGTTTGCATTGATATTGAGTTGACTTTTATTTATATTACTATTAATTACTTTTAATATTATCACTCAATCTGTTTGTCATATAACTAGCGGTCAATACATTACAAGTAATATATTCTTAACTATTTATTATTATTATTATTATTACATATATTATTATATAACTGTTGGAAGTGTTGGACCAATTGGTGACAATAACTCCAATCACTTAATTTAGTTAATATTTTGTTTCCCTTTAATACTATTTATGTGTTTATTTCCTATCAAGAGCTCTATTTTCTGAGTTAATTGTATTTAAATACCATTTAAACATTGATTTATAAGTCAATTATACTTGAATTGTCGTCAAAAGTATTGAAAACATTGTAAACAAATAGTTGTCATCTCTTATGCATACGATATATATCTTTAAATGTACCACAAATTTGTACATAATTTGAACCATTAGTTAATTGCTTATCATTATATTAACACAATTAACAGTTACTCGCATTTTGATTATATAATGATTACTGAATTAGCATTTGATAAACACTTTACTATTTGACAGAAAGCCGTGTTAACACATATACACACATACAATGAGTTTTTGTTTAAATATCTCCAAAACGCGAGACAAATAGTTTACTAATTGGTTTGCTATTGAAAAGCCAAACATTGTTATAATGAGTGATCACATGAATAACATTGGATCCGTTGCCACATCCGTGGCATCGGTCACCACATCGGTGGGACAGTCGCCGCAGACTAATAACATGAACCACGACAGCATCGGTCAGCCACAGCCCAGCAAACGACTCAAAATGAGTGACTCGACCGACTCTATCTTCAGTTATCTCGAGCTACTGCCCGAAGAGTTGTCCACAAACTCTATGACTTCCAGTGTCGACAACGGACTGCTCGGTGTTGGCCTTAACTCGAATACTGTGACCACTGCGACGGCCAACACTTCGACCCTGTCGTCGGTCACCACAACGCCTCAACAGCAGCAACAGCCCCACCAAAACTTATCTCAATTGCTTCAGTCCAAGACTGTCAACAACATCGGCCAACAGAACCAACCGCCGCCTCAGAGGATGATGGCCTCCAC